GCCTGCCTGCCTGCCTGCCTGCCTGCTTGCCTGCCTGCCTGCCTGCCTGTCTGTCTGTCCACAGTGCAAATGTTGTATTATAGGGACCTGTTAGTAGCTAAAATTTTGTTTTGATGCCAGCTGTTGGCAGCCAATGAAATGTCATTATCCAGTTGTTCCTAAACTGGGGGGGGGGGAGAGAATGTTGCTGGACTACAACTCCTAGATGCTCCAGCTAGCATAATTATTGTTGGGTACTATAGTCCATAAACCTTATGGGGCCCATATCTGGGAAACTTCTGTCATAAACTGATCAAATGCTACATAGCAATGGAAATGCTGCATAGAATTGTGCATCTATTACTGTGAAGAAGAAAACACAGTTTTAACCCAGGTATCAAATATTGTTAAATGCTACATTCTGTGGTAAGTATCTGGTATCGAATTTCAAGGAGTAAATCAAATTGTTAGTCTCTATTAAATAGGCCCATTAAATCAACGGGCCTTACATAACTGCTGACCTTCCTAAGCACCACTGATTTAATAGGTCTTCTCTAATTGGGACTAATAATTCGATTTAGTCTCAGATATTTAATGGAGCTTGTAATTTTTCAGCTGTGGGTATTTGTATATCAGAGGAAATCCAGGAATGTCAGAACATGAAAGCTGACAGCAGTGAATTCTAAAGAGAATATTTGTGAGTACATTTGTCTAAGATTTGGCACAAGCTGGTGATATCACTTTCAACAGCCATGTAGAAAACTGAGCTTCAGTTCCTTCCAAGTCGACTGCTCTAAGGTTTCCAACAGGTTCCTTAGTAAATAATGATTACAGTCTCCTGTTTGTGCTAAGAGGATATCTAATACATCTTTTTGGTTAGACAGCCCTTGTGCTACTGCCAGGATTTAGAACTTGGCCATAAACTCTTTCAAATGCCATAAGCCTTGAAATTTAATCTTGTGAAACAGCGACTTTACAAAGCATTGGCTTTAACCATCTCAGAGTAGAAGGAGGGAGCTACAGCAGAAGTCCCTGGGTGTCATGGAACATGGCTGGGCACACTAGGAAGGTAGCTAGGCTGCTCCTCTTTTGCTGTGCTTTCATAAAAGGTTAAAAGGGGCTGAACAGGGGGCGATGGAGGCTGAGCCAGCACTACCATTTAGAGAAGGCAAACACAAAGGAGGAGAAACAGAGGGCTTGCTGTGAAGCAGCTTCAGAGGCCTGCATACGTAACCCGAGTTTAAAGGAAATCTTGATCAGGTTTATCAAAGCACGGCAACTATTTGACTGAAAGGGTAGAATTGCAACAGAAATGCCATCTAAAATGTCCAACATCTGTCCTAGTAAATCAAACACCGGCCCTCACCATAATTTGCGTGCAAGTACTGTAAGTGTGCACGCACAAACTCTGTTTCAATGTTCATGCCTTTACCAGTTGCCCTTTTTAAAAAAAGGAAAGATGTTTAGTCTGCACAAATTCAGGACAGGAACATTTCTTGGTGACACTGCTATACAGAATGCCCTGCTGGTGTCTACGACACCATTACAGAACAGATCTTGTGCCTGGAAAAGGATAAAAGTGGTTGGATTTGATACTGGCCCTTGTCTCTTACATTTCTTATGCATTTTTATTCCCTAGCTTCTAATGTAATTAGTTTATCAATTAATTAATTGATAATTAATTAATTAATACATTATCAGTAAATGTGGTGATCAAAAATTACCAGGAAAGACAGTTGAAAAATACAAGCAGATGTTTATATAATTGCAAAAGAATTACTATTATTTTAAAGACAACACTGAGTGGTGTGTGTGTGACTACCTATCAGAAATTGCAATGCCCAGCTCAATGCACCCTCCCCCATTTTTCTCTCACCCCCAGTTGTTTGTGTGTGTGTGTGAGTTGGGGGACAAGGATGCACTGACCACTCTGGTCAGCAAAGGCTGCTATCCTGTTGGATGTTCAAAGGTCTCATGGTGTGGTGGAAGCCTTTTTCCAGAATCTGAAGCCAGACGACTTCGGATCATACAGGAAGTGATCTGTTGTCAATTATGGCCACTCAATGGCAACAATAGCCAGTGTTAATTAGGCATTGAAACTGGCTGGATAGCTCAATGGGAGTTCCATTCCCCACTTTGCCTCCTGGAAGAAGAGCTAGTCTATGTGGCTTGGGCAAGTTGCAAAGTCCCAGGACACCTCCTGAAGAGAGTGGTAAACCGCTCTGAATATTCTGTGCCTGGAAAAACCTGAAAGTAATCAAAACTGACTTGATGGCACATTTATTATTATTATGTAGGCACTTGGGAGTATTCTATACACAAGAGATCTTTTCTCCTAAGGGATGCATGGGGATGTTTCCATTTGCAACTGATTTCTGAAACCTAGGACAAAGACATTGTCAACATGGTGCAGTATGTAAATTCTTAGGATCAGACTATCAAGGGCTACTAATCTTGGTGGCTGGAGAGCACCTCATCTGGATGGCCACTGTGGAAGCAAAACACGGGACAAGGCAGACCTGTTGGTTGGATCCAAGAAGGTTCTTCCTGTGTTTTTCAATGAAGAAACCTTGGTTTCCTAAGGACACCATGTGCCTTGGCTGAGTTTTGACCAAAAACATTTTAAGAGACCAATGGGGACATTTTATTTCTGCTCTTAAGTCCAACAACATTCACTGTGCGTGCATCTGTATATACATTTGGTAAATATAAAACAAAATGAGAATGGCTTACGTTTACAAATCTCTGGGGAAGACATGGGTTTTCCTCTGTCCCTGTAAAAACCAGGCTTGCACCGCTGACACCGGTAACCCTCTGTGTTGTGCTTGCAGTTGTCGCAGACACCTCCGGTCCGCTTTCCAGATGCCAGCCAAACACCCAGGTCAAAATGGCAGCTCTCCGCATGACTGTGGCAGCGACACTCTGTTGAGGAGAATGTCGCGTGAGCAGAAGGAAGACAGCAAAGACTCAGTCCTTACAAATCCCATTTGTAGCACAAGCACTTGTTATGAACTCTGTCTTGACCATACAGTTGAAATTTCACCATTGAAAGCCAAACAGCAAAAGTGCCTTATTAGTTTTAAATACTCAAACTGCTTAAGAAAACAATGATACGACCTTATCAGTAATACTGTATAGCTATTATGATAATGCATAGTAGGAGCTGATTGGCTAGGGAACAAAAATACCTTCCCAGAGGAGGTGGGGATGGCCCTATCTTTGCTGTCCATTCGTAAGCAGATGAAGGGACATGGTGGCGCTGCGGGCTAAACCGCAGAAGCCTGTGCTGCAGGGTCAGAAGACCAGCAGTCGTAAGATCGAATCCACGCAACGGCGTGAGCGCCCATCGCTTGTCCCAGCTCCTGCTAACCTAACGGTTCGAAAGCATGCAAATGCAAGTAGATAAAGAGGGACCACTTCGGTGGGAAGGTAACAGCATTCCGTGTCTAAGTCGCACTGACCATGTGACCACGGAAGATTGTCTTTGGACAAAAACGCTGGCTCTATGGCTTGGAAATGGGGATGAGCACCGCCCCCTAGAGTCAAACACGACTGGACAAAAACTGTCAAGGGGAACCTTTACCATAAGCAGATGAAGACCTTTCTCTAGAAGAGTTTTTGAGAACTGCAGTAGACTGAAGCTTTAAATGAGAAAGCAGCTTTACAGCAAATCAAAAAAACAGAGGTAGAAGCAGAGGAAGGAAGGAAAGAAAGAAGATGGAGGGGGGGCAGGGTCTGTGGGCTGCAATGGAAACTGCATCACACCCCAAAAAATCTGCAGCCGCTGTGTGAATACTGATTGCTATTTCAAATGTAATACAGTCTGCCAAGCAAATCGCAGTGTTACTAACTTTCAGCAATAGAGCAGCAAGTTGACTGGTAGCAACCATGTATAACTACCAGCAGATTCAAGAAAGGGCAATGCAGCCAGCCCTGCCCTCTAGAAGTGGCCTGCCCTTAATAGAAAGCAGACTGTCCCTATGAGATACAGTATTTGGAAATACAAATACAGAACACTAGCTCCTGGTCTTAATGAGAAATTCAGGAAATTGGGTCAACGCCTTCTAGCCAGCAAGCCATTTGAAGATTCTCTCCCCCCCTTTCAAATGCAGGGTGTTTACTTTATACCTTCTGCTTTTCAACCTTATAAAGCCAGGTTCTTGCCTACCTTTGCCGCTGACATCTCCTCTAGAACTTTTGGATTAATTCTGAAGCAAAAAGAGCTTCATGCCAAGTTCTGAAAGAAGATGTGAGTGTATCAAGTCGGTGTAGGGGAAAACATTATTTGTTTGGAAACAGCTTTTTTAAGGAACAATATTTGAGTTATTCTGAAAATGTTACTTTTGGGGGATTGTTTGCACTTGTTTGTGATCTGTTGAATCTAAAGCTTAGATGAATGCTCTGAAGTGATTATTGCATCCACACATCCTGCAGCTCTAGCTAGTTATTGGTTATTCACTGCTCTCACATTCTTTTTGTTGCTGTTGCTTTGTAAGGCATTTGCTGCCATTTTGAATCCTTTGTTTGCCCCTTTTTCTTGGTTTTGAGGAGATCCCCCCCACCCCCACCTCCAATTTCTTTGGATTATTTTAGCTGCTGCTAGGCAGTCTGCCAGTGTGAGGATGGCTCTTTGGGATTATTTACTGAATTTTTCCCAATGATTTCATTAGGGATTTCCTCCTTTTTCTCAGCCCTCTTTCTTTTCTTGAATTATTTTTTACTGTTGATTGTTGGAATTGTTGGACTCAAAAAAGAGAAGGCATCAAGTGGAAGAGGGATCGAAATCTCCCCATTCTCTAGTTTCAGTTCGCAGGGGCTTTGATTGTATTTTCCTCCTTTGCTTGCTTTTGTTGTTTTTTGGGAGAGGGTGCTGTGTGTGGGTGTGTTTCTATTTTGCATTCCCCTCCATGTCCTGGTGTGTTTTCACTGTTTGGTTTTTTTTTAATTAAATAGCTATTTGGTTAACTTACTGTGTATTTATTCTGCCAGCAATATATTTTGTTGGGTTTTTTTTTTAAAAAACCAATACTTCATGTACAGTTGCCTGCTTTTGGAGAAGATTGATTCTCCATTGCCTTATCTCAGCATTCTTGGACTAGTTTCTAAAGGTTCTTTAGACCTTTGGAGTGCCAGGAAACACAATATGAAAAACCTGAAAGATGCTTTCTCTTTCATGTAAAATGAAAGGACTGGTGCATGCAAAATATAAAAATGAATGAGGCACCTCCCGAGAGAACTGAAAATGAAACAAACATGAAAATGTTCACCACACACATCCCTGCTGCTGTGCATGTGTATGAGAAAGCTTGGCAACTATCAAAGCTTAGAGAACAATAATACAGGAAAATGTATAGGAAAACCAGAACTTTGTTCTATAATATATTATTAAACAGGCCAGCTTCATTTATACATGCATGTACTTATTCTTACACGCACAGAAAGGGAGAAAGAAAGAGTGAAAGAATGTTCACACAGTTAGTTAGCAATCTATTCCCCATCTGCTGCTAGAGTACCATAAATCCAGACTCAATGAATTGGCTCTTACAGAGCTTGGCTACTAGACAGAATGATTTATTATTTTGCAGCCTTCCATCTCTATGCGGTCTTCACCATACCCACATACTTCTGCATTCATTCGGTGCCCCCGTTTTTCCATCGCCAGGCTCCCATGGCTGGTCATTGTATAATGGCGCACACCTCTCACAATGGTCTCCGGCAGTGTTGTGTCTGCACACGCACTTCCCATGGACCTGTTAAGGCAATAAATAACTAAATAAATAAATAAGTAACACTGCTGAACAATTACAAGAGCTTAAAGAGAGTGAACAATTCCAAAATGTGCTTAAAGGTAGACATTCAAAGTCTAGCAGAAGCAGTTTGAATGTCTATTTATTCTGTCCATTTGAGCCACCTGCACTGAGTTATATTTCCAATCCAAGAAGGAGACAGTGATATTATGCCTCCCAGATCCCTCTGTTCCGAAAATATTGTACCCTGCGGGTCATGGCCACCACTAACAGTTCTAAGATAAATCTTGAAACAGCCAGATCAAGTATTAGTTGTGGGAGGGAGCTATGGTCAAGAACGTTTGTCCACCCTCCTGGTTGTCGTCGTCTTCTTCTTCTTCTTCTTCTTCTTCTTCTTCTTCTTCTTCTTCTTCTTCTTCTTCTAACTTTGGGACTGCAGCACTGGAATCTCAAGCATGTGAAAGAGCTCAGAAACAGGAGGGAACCCCTCTCAGAATGTTAAAGTTTGAAAAGTAATTACAAAGCTCTGGGTTGAGCAATGCCTTTACTGTGTAACTAAAATACTGTAAACAAGAAGAGCTTTGGGGTTCTCCAGAATTCCGTTGGGGTTTTAGAGAGAGTCGGGAAGGAAAATTTTTGGAATAGTTTTTTTTAAAGCGCCCAAATTTTGGATTTTTTTGCTTCTTGCCCCCTCAACTTTTCTATCAAATAAGTATGAAGAAGCGTTCTGGAACCCTGGACACCCTGTCTTTTTAAATAACATTTTAGTGAACCAATACAAATATTACTCAATCCAGAAATTGATTTACGTATTTAAAGTTCCAAAAGGAGATAGTCAGAATTCACACACACACAAACACACAAAAAGATTCTCTGGAAGCAACACTCCTTATTGTCAACTTAGGACCCACAACCAAGAGCAAAGCAGAAACATGAGGCACAGGCATAAATCAGAACTTGATCTGCAAAATATTTCTCCTTCTGCGAAAGTAATGACAAGTCTAAAGTTATGGCATAAAAAGAGCAAGCATATCTTGTATTCAATTACAGTCATAATTAAGGGGCATGTTTCCATAAACAAGTTCAAACATGTTTATGAGTAATCTTGCTTTTCTCACCAGATTACCCATAAACATGTTCAAACCCACCCATAAGCAAAAACATAGGTTGCAGAAAAAATATGACATGTCATGGAAATCCTCTGTCTAGTCATGATAAAACTAAAGCTCGCTTCAGTTGTGCTTCAAACCATGCAGAGCCTACATGCACTGAGGGGAATGTTCCTTGAATCATGTGAATATGAATGTCTCAAAAAGAAAAAGCTGCTTCACTGAGGTACCCTTTCCACATAAGCCTGTCTTCTCCCACAGAGGTTTTAGTTTACACAGCAGCCTTGCCCTCTTCAGAGAGTCACATTTCTCTGATTAAAAAGATGACAGAGTGGAGCAGTGCAGGGTACACCCCTCAGTGCATGTGTGTTCTACACATGTTAAAGCATGTGTGAATAGTGCCTCCCTTACTCAATAAAATAGCAGGTTACAAATACATATTTATTTCTAATTACTTATTTTTAGCCATCAGAGGAAATCTTTGTCTTTGGGGGGGGGGCAGGATAGAAATCTAATAAATAAATAAAAAAATATCAAGACAGGTAATTTCAAAATGAATGTTATAATGGAGAAGTATGTTCACCAGGCCCATGTCCTACAATCAGGCAGAATAAAGTGACTGCTTCAGGCAGAAGTAGTCTCATTTTCGGTGTTTTGGGGAGGTGCCTCATTAATTTTCATATTTTGCATGCACCGGTCCTTTCGTTTTACATGTGAGATCAGGTCTATTTAAATTTTAGCAGAACAAACATGAAAACAGGAATCAAAAAATGTAGACAGAACCAGGAAATGGATGAGATACAGTCATTCTCAATTAACCTATTCGTCCCTATCAACAAGAAACAAGCAACCAATAACAGCTCTAGAAACAGGTACACCCCGAAATCTTCTTTGCTTCTTAACTTGTGCCTGGGTTGAAATGCCAAGAGTTGAAGTTGTGCAAGCACGCTTCCGCCTCACTGCATATTTAATACAAAAGTGGAGCCATTTCTGATTGAGGCATGAATTTAATCTAAATCCCTTTAATCTTGCTACTGATGCCAGTGACAATTCTCAGCAGTGTTTCCTTTTTTTAAAAAAATATGATTAGTCAGAGTGATTGTGTTTCATCTGTTCTCAGGTCCTGTACACATCATGTCAGATAAGAGGAAGTAGCAAGACAGAGGAAATCAAAAAGTGAAATGAAATAAAGGTGGTTCCTCCACATCTTTCTCTTTCTCTCCTGTCCCTGGCCATTGCCAGTTCACTTCAGCAACTGGTTGCTCTCTCCTGCCATTCCTGATCCCTTCAGATCAGATATGGACACTGCTCCTCTGCATCCAGCTGGCAGATTAATCCCTTCAGATCAGATATGAGAACAAGCTCAAGCTATGGCCACTGCTCCTCTGCATCCAGCTGGCAGATTTGCTGTGCCCAGAGCGGTTGGCTGCCTTCTCACAGAAGACTGAACACAGATTTCAGGGTGTGCATCTCTCTCTCTCTCTCTCTCTCTCTCTCTCCCCTTGCTTGGTCTTTGCATTGGTTCTAGTTAGCCTCAGGGGGAGGATGCAGGTTTTGGTACAGAAGGACACCGTTCGGGTTCTCAGATGACTATATAAGAATGGGGTCTGGGTTTATAATTCATGTGAAGATATGTCTGAAGGGGCAGGTTCCAATCTACAAAAAGCTACACTGGTCAGAATCCTACTGCAACCAAACTGTGAAACTGTGTCATTGCTGTGCACTATCATTCTGGCTGGCTGTCACACACTTGGACACATTCTGGCCATGCACATGGTCCTCTGGCAAGAAAATTGCGAAAACATTGCACAATTCCCCTTCCACTTTCAGGATTCTGCAACAAGATTTTGGCAACTGAAATAAATTTGTTAGCATTAAACGTGTCACAATCCTTTTGTTTCCGTTTCCATTATTCTTCTGCTGCAAACAGAGTAATGTTTGGAAGCCTAAAATTTAAGAAGTATTGAAAGAAGGGAGATTTAAAAAGCAAAAAGGCTAACATTTAGAATTGACTTTGGTGAATGTTAGAAACTTTCTGATAAAGTTAGGAATAAATCATTTTAAATCTGATGCATTACATTTTAAATAGAGCCTCAAGAACCGCAAACTCTAGATTGCTATGATTCATAAAGGCACTTTGACACAACAATACTTCAGTTACTTATTATCAGCTGAAGAAAGCAGAACTACGTACACAGTTTTGCAGGTGATACAACACTGGAAAGGATTTTTGCAACACTGTCAAAGGCAAGGTTAATATTTCTAAATATTTTTTAGACTAAAGAAGGGTATGGACCACTCTGAAAAAGCTGATCACAGGCTACTTCGTTGCTAAGATTCCTTTCCTAAACCTGTCTGTCCTAAATCAAACTTTAACTGACTTTAGACTCGGTGCATGCAGACCTTCCATATGAAGCAGCTTTGATGCAGGAGGAATCTTCCCATGCACCAAACTGCTCCCTTTATGGGTGTTTTCTTTTGGAAGATTTTTTAAAATACAATCAATGTTTACATAGGCTGGGGACAAATGAGGTGCTGGTTCTTTTTCTCTTTCCTATATATGTGATGTACAGTGTTAAAAGCCATAAAATACATTGATACAAGATAAAACAGCAATTAAAATAAGCCAGGAAAAGACAGATGGGAAAAGCAAAATTTTAAAAGGTCTAAGTAATTTAAAATGTTTTGCTAAGAGGGTATTGCCCGGCCTCTCCTGAGATTTATTCCATGAATGTAGTGTCACCATGCAAAAATTAATACCTTTTGTTCTTACTTACTTACTTACTTACTTACTTACTTACTTACTTACTTACTTACTTACTTACTTACTTACTTACTTACTTACTTACTTACTTACTTACTTACTTACTTACTTACTTACCGTGGTGCCTCACTTGATGAGGATAATCTGTTCCAGCGAAATCGCTGTAGAGTGGAATCCTCATCAAGCGAAATAAAAAACCCCATTGAAATGCATTGAAAACTGTTCAATGCATTCCAATGGGCGAAATACCTGCTCGTTCAGCGAAGATCCTCCATAGGGCAGCCATTTTCAGCTGTTTTGATCGTCATAATGTGAAGAATCAGTTCCCGAAGCAGGGAACCGATCGTCGGGAAGCGAAAAAAGCCCATTAAAACATCATTTTGCAATCAAATTGCGATTGCAAAAACATCACCATGTACTTACTTACTTAGTATGCTGCCTTTCTCCCTATAGGGGACTCACAACTAAAATTATAAAACAAACAGTATTAAGAACTGTTTATAAATATCATATTAAAAACAACCAAACCAATATTAAGATGAAAAACCAAGATTAAAAACATTTTAAATCTGTAAGTTAATAAAAATGCATCCCGGAGGCATTTAAAAACCTGCCCGAAGAGGAAGGGCTTTCCATGTACAAAACCTGTTGTTCTTCAACTGTCTCCAAGGGATGGGCCTTTAATTCCCCACCACACTAGTAAACAGGGGTTGCTGAGAATTCAAACCCATGACCTCCCATATCCTAAGGGAGAATCATATCCTAAATGAATTCAGCTCAGATACTGGATCCCAATGACACAGAAAAATAACCAAACCCTATTCAGATATTCCCAACCTTTGTCTTAGAAATCAGCAAGAGGAGGAAGCAAGCAACCGGTACCAGTTACGGTTTTTGGGATACGCTTGCAGATGGAGAGTTCCTTTCCAAAAGGAAGAGCTCTTAGGATCTGCAGAAGCACTCCATGCAATTTGGAAAATCATGTCTGGCACAGGCACTCCTTTTCAAAATTTCACCTTCTGTATGTAGAGAGCGACAGAAGCACGCCTAGGCTCTGGATCTGAATCTAGTTCTACTGGGATCCTAATCAGGCCCTCTGGTCTGCCCTGTGACACCATTCTTCAGTAGTT